ATAGCCACACGTGTTGCGGCCTCGATTTGTCGCAAACGCTGCTGGATCCACGCTGCGCTACCGATATGGGCAAGCCGCCGGCTCCTTCGATACCTTCCCGCCCTAGCCAACTCTCAGCTCAGAAAACTGTTTTTTTTTTACCCCAGTTCATCATTTTAAATTAAGCAGAACATCTGGACAATTTTTCTAGTGATATTCGGCAGGAATTATTCATGTTAGAACAAGGACCTACTGTCTAAAGGCTTCCTAAAGTTTGGCTTGCGACGCACACGCAACGCCGGGCGTGTTTGTTGTCGAATTTCCAGTAGCAAATATCATAAATTCTTTCACAATCAAGAAGACTACTTCAGCAATCAGCTATATAATGAAAGCTATATAGTGAAAGACTTCATATGTCGTGTCAACAGGCGATTGGAGTAGAAAAACGATTGGTTTTGTGCGGAAACATCAGTCCCTTTATGCCTGGTCTGAATGCTCTAGCTCCGAACTGTATACAAACAAACAAGGTTCCTACATTTTGAAATTTTGACTCAATGACAATGGTTTTGATTCAGTGGGAACATCACAGATACACAGCCAGCACCACATATAACTGCATCAAAGTAAGAAACAAAACATTAAATCAGAGCCTTTTCTTGTCTCCTCTCTTCTTAGTTATCTCTCGTCATATTTATCTGCCATCCACCTTCCGGCATGGTAACAGAGATCTTTGCCCATTTTCCGCATGTTGACCACTGTCAGAAGGCAACAGGATTTCTTGTTTTTTCCCCCAAATCAGGCAAAAATTAATGTGTGCGCTGATGCCATCCATAGATATTACTTGTTGTGGCCTTACTAGTAGTTGACATCAGGTTAAACTATCATGACTCCTAAGGGGTCTTGTTCATGATCTAACTGTGGGGGATGGGGGGAGAGTGCTCTCAATCTTGGAGGGTCTGTGGGCGAATTTTGGATAAATTGAAGCCTTGAAAAACACAATGTCCCACATTTTGAGAGGCCAAAAATGGGGAGGAGAGTGGTTGTTGGGGGTCTTTTGAATGTTTTTAATAACACATGACGTGTAAATGTTTTTACGTATACGTATTAGGAAGATCTTTGTCAATTTTGTCCATCAAGGTTGAGTTGTGTAATTATAAATAATGTCCTTGGGTTAAGCATTTTTCTGTCACACACCACATACAATATAATTAATTGTACATGTAGTTTGTGACATGGAAATGAAAACATGGGCATGGATAACATAAAAAAGCAAGGTTTAACTGTAATTTCCAATTACTCAAACATTTGATTTACTCAAATTTTCAACTGTAAAACTCCAGTGTTAATGTCATTAGGAATGAGCAATCTACCACTTCTGTAACATCATGTTACTCTTATTAACAAAGACTGAACTGTTGTATGTCAAAAATTTGAGTATTACAATTGTAGTCCAATTTTCTTGTGCTGTTCAAACTTGTTTCATAATGGACTTTTATTATTGTTTTTAAAACATGGATATAAATGGTGCAACTTCCATGAAAAATCTTTTCGAGTCATTTTCTTGTCCTAAATCCTTTGACAGCTTTAAAAAAATGATCAATCTGAAAGGATTTTGCTGTCTAAACTCACTTGAATCAAGGAGGTTCTCTTTTCATTCCTCCTAGGCCTTGCTTGAATCGATATCAAAGCACAGCTCCAAATATGCAAACACAGTTACTCTGAGTAGTATCTCTCTAGCATTGGTAATGAGACAGGATCTAATGACCTGCCTAGCTTGATGTGTTTTGAAGTCTGGAATTGACAGATCACGATTCCTTGATTTGATGGAGCTTCAAAAAGTTTGCACAACAAGATCAAGCCACTGCTACTTTGTGATGTCAGTCACCTCCAACAGTCCTTATAGGCCTAAGAAAATTAATGTTGTGTTTCCAGCTCCTGAAAAAAGTAGGTCGGAAGGTAGGGATTGTTTTTTGTACAGAAATGACATGTATAGCAGCGTGCAAAATACCGGGCAACCAAATTTGACTTGGGGCAACCAAATTTTACTTGGGGCAACCTATTTTTGAACCTAGGTAGCCCATTGTGCTACCTGAATTTTAAGAACTGCCCCTTCCCCCCCCCCCATGCCCACATGGCTTGCACCACTGTATATCCGGCAGATGCTTTTTAATTTTAGGTATTAATGGCTATTACTAGTATCAGTTAACTAAAGGCTGTTAGAAATATTGTCAAAGGCTTATGTAATATGTAACATTCCTTAATTTGAGGAAAGTCGTAACTTATAGGTGGGGCAACCTAAAATTCTGATGGGCAACCTAATTTTTGCCATAGGTTGCCCACTGGGCAACCTGGTTCAAAAAAGTATTTTGTACACTGTGCAGATTTTAAATTCTGTACGTCCCTCCGTTATTTTCATTACACCGTTCACTTCTCTTTCCCGCAGTTCTTCACGACATTGTGGGAACCATGTTCAACCGGCGCTTCATGGACGAACTGTTCAAGCCGCAGGAGGCGTACAGTAAGAAGGCCATGCGGACGGTGTTCGACCGACTCGCTCACGCGTCCATCATGAGGCTTAACTCGGCCAGCATGGATAAGGTCTGACATTTCAAGTCTTAGTATTATTTATGCCACGCTGACTTAATTTTATGGATGACATCCGCGCGCGCATTGATTTTCACCTGTTCTCAAAAAAAAAAAAGATCACGTCCACCGTTCTGGCCTAGCTCTAGGCCTGGGTAGTCCATGTTAGTTAGCGACTACCCAGGCTACCTAAGCTCCACAATTCAAGAACTCAGTACATACGTACAGTGCCGATTCATAAATTCCACAAAAAACCAGCATGTGCTGGCTTGTTGTATATGTCGCTAAGTACTGCCGCAAATTCACAATACCAGCTAAGTATCTCTGTGGTTTCGTAGCATTTTTATTTTTGGCCGGAATTTTTTTCATTCACCCATAAAATGTCGTCCATAAAATTTTAAGTCAGTGTGGCCTTACCTATTTATGATTCATCAGAGAATAAATTGTTATGCTGGAATCCACTTTGTTGTGTCATATTTACCATACGTTGAAACCTGAAATACAGGGCCAACATTATAGCGATCGAATCCGTAAAAACCCCTGGAAAGACCCCTTTGGCAATATATATCGCAGAGTTGACGGGAGTTGCTCACTGTGTGTTGACAGGAAGGTCAATCGTCGTTCGACAAAAAAAAGTGCCCAAATCTTTGTATAAAAGATGGGCTTAGGTTGTCAACGTTTTGTGAACCCGGTCTATTGTTAGTGAGAAATTGTGCAAATTAAAGTTGACCTGACAACGCTGCTCTGGCCAATGGATACTGCCTTGCCACCTTATGATCTGCTTGGATATTAACATTTTTGCACCAAAAATGACAATATTTTAGTTGAAAAAAATCTTCATGCTGGGTAACTTTTATACTTCCACCTTTCATCGTATTTGTGTGCAATTATTTCACATCTCTGACATGTATGGTTGGCGCTAAAACAGCCCGTACAAAGTGCATTCAGTTTGTGGTGCCACCAGAAACTACCAGAATGTAAACAAACATGGCTGACAGCTGTAATATTTTGGCACCTCTACTTCTTGAATGACACTTAATAATATATATTTGCAATGGAGTATGAGTGATTTAACTTATTTTGTAAAGAAATAACCAGAAAATTGGCTTGACATCCTGATATTATATGTAATGTAGCTTAAATCCTCTGTGAAATTAGCAGTGCGACTAACAGGACCTGGGGGAATATCAAAACGTGGCTTTCCATTTTCAGACAGATCCAATTATGCAAGGCCCTGCATGTTGTTACGGATCCAGACATAATTGGACTGAACTCACATTAACGGACGAATCGGACTCACATTTACGGACCACATTTATTTTCTAAATCATTGTCAGTCGTTGCTCGGATTCTCCCGTTTCATTTTTTCTGATTTCCAAAAAAATTTGTGTAAACTGAATCAACTCCAAACATAGAAATTCTTCTGCAAGAATAATATTCTAAGGGTATTTAGTTCAAAATACTTATTAAGAAAAGAAATCTTACCACAAAAAAATATGCTAAAATAATGCAGTTTCTTGAAATTCTTGTCTCATGGTCTCAAAAAAATATTTCTTCTCTGAAGAAAAACAAGATTGGCATTTTTGGTAGTGCACCCAACGATTGAAGAATGTTTTATTAAAAGCTTAAAATTCATTTATCCTCAGATGGTATGTTGACTTCACTGCTCCTATCATTTGGGGCTATCCAATTGCAAGAATACCAAGGCCCTTTTTTTTTTTGCTCCGTCACTTCAGAATTTTTTCTTAAAAAATCTGAAAGACAGCAAATTAAATTGATTTGGCCTATGTAACCTCAATTCCCAGGCATTGAAAAAAATGAGTTAATTGTTTGAAAATATACTAATCGGGAATCTTGGATTTTTCAGTTGTATGACTTGATGACCATGGCCTTCAAGTACCAAGTGTCGCTGTGTCTGCGACCTTCAGACATCATGCTGGTGACCTTGAACCACATGGACGCCCTGAGAACCTTCGTGGAGGAGGCACCAGCCATCAAGGCACAGGTGGACAACGTCTTCAGACTACTCATCACTGTGAGTATCAACCAAGACATCTTTTTTTTTTATGTCTGAAGAAATGAAACTTTTTAGCAGTCATGTGGATTTAAAGACATATCTTTGAAAGTTCATCTGTGTTGGTAGAAGTCATTATGAAGTAAGTCGAAAATTTGGGTGAGTCCATTTTGTTGTGTTGGAAATAACAGTTTAAACTTGCTTCATAATCATAATGGATTTAAAGACATCCAATGATATTTCTGGGCAGCATTAGGCCACACCGATTTAATTTTATGGATGACATCCGCGCGCGCATTGATTTTCGCCCGATCTCAAAAAAAAAAAAAAAGATTACGTATTCCGAGGCTCTGGCCTGGCTTTAGGCCTGGGTAGTGCATGGTGGTGATAACTCTGGTTGACGGCAGCCAGGCTACCGAAGCTCCAAGACTCAAGAACTCAGTACATACGTACAGCAGTGTCGATTCATATATTCCGCAAAAGTCCAGCATGTGTCGGCCTGTCGTATACGTCGCTATGTAATGCGCCAAATTCACAATACCAGGTTTGTATTCCTGTGGTTTTGTAGCATTTTTATTTTTGGCCGGATTTTTATTTTTTTCGCCCGCGCGCACTAGTTTGGGGGTCTTCAGAGGATGTCATCCATAAAATTAAATCGGTGTGGCCTTACAGAAAATATTCTGGATCAGGAAATCCGTCAGATATTGACGTTTACCGCCATTTCTGTGGCACATTTTTGTCATCATTTCATACCAATTTTATTCACTTCCGAATCAACAGTTTGTACAATCATTATGTTTCGTTCTGTTCTAAACCTTTTTTTAAGTTAGCTAATCATACAGTTTTTCAAAACCTTCTATTGCTATTTTACACCCTACTCATTCCTGTATGGTAATCTAATTTCTGTCCATCATTGGTCCACAATTATATTATATCGACTGGCTGAACATAATAAGGATCATATTAAGTTCACAGAATGCCATAATCCATATTAACCCCAATGAGAATTTTGCCCATGATTTAATGCTAATAAGTTCCTGGAAGTCTGACTATTTGATTTTTGTCCACAGCTGATGATATATGATTATGCTAGAGTTGCCATGGAGGCTCAGATAGGCCTATTATTATAATTAATACAACTGTTATTAATTAATACAACCATCTATAACAACCATCTATAACACTAGCCACTAGCCAGTCTGAAACTTTTTTTTCCATCATCTTAATTTTGTTTGACAGTCCAGTATTAAATTTTGTATGTTGAGCGGCAAACATAACAATCCTATAGCTACATGTAGCTACAAGGGTGCATGGGGCATGCTTTCCCCGGCAAATTTTGAAATCTTGACCATCTGAAATGCTATTCCTGCATTTTGAGCAGCAAATCTTGCTGGTAGACTTTCCATCTCTTAAGACATCTCTTTCCATCTCTTAAAACACTGAATTTTTTTGTCAAATAGCAAATTCAGCATCATGACTTTAATCAGTTAGTGTCAATTCAGTTCAGTTGATTTGAAAATGGTGACGGTACTTTTGTCTGCGTTGGTCACAACGATCTGTCCCTGTGTTGCCATGGCAACAGCCCAAGGCCACCTCATGTCCGTCATGACGTGCCTGAGAAACTTGCCCGTCTGGTCGAACACTTCCACGCGGCTGTTCTTCCTGTCAGCTACGACGATGTTCCCTGAGCTGTCCGTACAGATGCCCTGTGGACTTCTCAGCTGTCCTTTGCTGCCCCCCTCCCCTCCGAATTTGAACAGGAACTGTCCCTCTGCGCTGTACGCGAAGACAAGGTGGCTGTGACAGTCAGACACGAGAATGTTCCCCTCCACGTCCACCGCGATGAACTGCGGAACTTTTAGTCCCTGTTGCCACGAGGCGGCTCGCTTCGCCCCCACACTTCTTAGAAGCGTCCCGTCGGGACTGAACACCTGGACGACACCATTGGATTTGTCCACTTCCCGTGTGGCTTGTGTCACCAGGATGTGGTTCCTCCTGCTGTCCACAGCGATACCCCTCACCTAAAACAATTCACGATAATGTTTAGAGGCCCCTTAATTAGCACCAAGAACAGGGTGGTTGTAACAAAGTAGAACTAAAAAAAAGATAGAAATGACCAATCAGCACCAAGGACAGGATAGATGTAACAACATACAACTGAAACAAAGATAGAAAGGACCAATCAGCACCAAGGACAGGATAGATGTAACAACATACAACTGAAACAAAGATAGAAAGGACCAATCAGCACCAAGGACAGGGTAGTTGTAGTCATTCACAACAGAATTGGCTGTCCCTTACAACTTTCAAACAATGTCTAGAAGAAAGATAGCCTGATAGAGAAGTCATTCTACTGCTAGTACTTCTTGATTTGATTTGTTTTCTCATGTTTGTCAATTTGCGCAAAGATTTATTTTTATACGTTGGCCTTATACCTGCATGGAATAACTTACCAATTGATTTGTCAATTTGATTTCGTTTTAATATCCTTTTAAATTTGGTACATGTATGTCATTTGATTATATCACTTCATTAATTAGTTAGTCAGTTAACTCTATATCCATGTACATGTATATCTTTAATGATTTGCTTCTTTTACTTTTGTTTCATCTTTATCTACAATGCATATTGTGCTTCAGATATGTACATGTACCAGCTCCACATGTACATGTAACTGACCAAAAGTAATAAAAACTAGAGTTCCACGATCTCATACCTTCGCCAAATGATGTTAGCTTTTATGATTAAGAAATTATATATTAATCCCCCTAATTATGCAAATAGGATCCTCAATTGCATGAATTATATCTGTTGATCATATTCTCCACCAAAAGACAGTCTTATCTTAACAAAGAATGCCATGATGATATTTTCTCATAAATTATGCAAATGAGGTCCTTATTTGAATAAGTTATGTTTAATTATGTTCACCTTAACTTAACTTTCAAACACCTCAAGTATAAAATTCCAGGCAGTTACCACTATGCAATTATAATATTTTCTCATTAATTATGCAAATTAAGTCTTCATTTGCATAATCGATATCTGCCTGTGTTTCTCTCATTCTTAATAACATATGTCACAAGCTTGAACTTCCTATTATGGAATGCAGCAGATAAATAGAATTTCCTCATTAATTATGCAAATTACATCCATATTTGCATAATTGTAATATCATTATGTCAAGCATCACTCAAGCTACCTACATACCAAAAATCATGATGATCCATCAATCGGTTCTTGAGTTATTCCCCTTTAAACATTTGTCCTTTAAACCCCCCTGCAGTTCTAGAGCAAGCAACTAGGGGGCTCAAACTCATGTCACTTTATCCCCAGCACAAGAGCTATCTACCATCTAAATTTCGTCACCCTAGCATGTCTGGATCATGAGATATCAAAACCGGAAGTTCTGCTGCAGTACCATGACAAGCTGCCAGGGGGCCCAAAATCCAATCATTTTGAGGTCTCATCAAGACCTACCCACCTACCAAGTATCAAGACAATCCATCAAGACCTTCTCAAGTTATCGTGTTGACAGACAGACAGACACACACACACACACACACATACACGAACGCCCCTGAAAACATAACCTTCTTGGCGAAGGTAATTAATTGCAGTTACGGGGAACCACAGATAAACCTGAAGGTTTTTCAGTTTTCCGGCACATTCCTTCATCTAGTACATAAATTACGACAAACTGACTTGTTTAGGTACAAACAATATAAACACCTGGCCTGTCTTCTGTAGGCTAATCGTGCTCAGTAGTCGCCCCCGCTTGGTGTACTGTACGACCAGCTCAGCCGCGGCCGCGCTCCCCGCCACCCACAGGTTCCCCGCTTCATCCAACGCCACATCGTGGGGCTCCATCTTCTTCCCGTCCTGCACAACGGTCAGAAACTGGCGCACAAACGTCCCCTCCAGCGTGAAGACTTTGACTTTCCGGTCCCGGTAGTCTCCCACGAAGATCTCGCCGTCTTCCGATACGACCACCCCGCTCGGAAGGTCAAGGTTCTGTTCCTCCTCCCCCTTCCCTCCGAACGTCAGGCTTTCGTTCTGCTGCTGAGTCAGAAGGTCGTAACCTTGGTGATGACCTAGTTCATCATCATCATCATCATCTGAAGATGCAAAGGACACTTTCTTCACAGACTGTCTTTGGCGGTGATGACCTATGCCCTCTGATGCGACATCATCGTCCAATGTTGCCAGACTGGTCAGGAGGGAGATGTTTTCGATATCCGACCTCTTTCTAGCAAAGGATATCCTCTTTGCCTGAACGCCGTTTTGACTGCTATGGCGACGGGCGATGACCCTGGCTGCTGTGTTGTTGGATGTCGGTGCTGTTGCGGGGGTTGAACTCGGTGTAGTTTCGGGCGGCTGGATGATCACATGTCCCAGAACTGGCACTGCTGCATCCGTAGGCTGGAACACCGGCACTGCAAGTTTGCCCTGTACGGGAGCCGGAGTCCCCTTTGCTCTGTACTTCCCCAAAATGTCCGTCAAGGTCGTTTCCTGTGCCAGAAACTCCAGCCCTCCCCGCCAGGCCTGCTCCGCTCGGTCGCAGGCGGCCGACAGCTCGGCCACGTCCCGCGAGACCACGTCTCTCTCGTTTTGTAACATGGCGACGGTTTCGCCGTGGTTTTGTTGCACCTCGTCCAACAGGTTGTCTTTCCCCTTCAGCAGTGCCAGGGCCATTTGATTGTAGACCGTTGCGATGTTCTTCTCCGTCTGGTGTTTCTGTTCCTGTAGGACCTTCTCCGTGTCGTCAATCCCTCGGAGGAAGCTGCGGTACATTTCTAGAATGTTCCTCCCCTCGTTGATGAGTGCCTGGATTGGAGCTCTCTTCTCTTGCGAGGCCTTTTTGATGGTGATGGTACTGTGGTCGCTGTGAGTCTCATCCAAACACTCATTACAAACCGGCACCTGGCACTGCTTACAGTACAGCTTGAGTTCTTCTGTTGGGTGGACGCTGCACCTGTTTCCAGACTGCGGTTGTTCCCTTTTTGTCTCTTCTGGTGCTACGACTACGCTCTGTTTCCGGAGTCTTCCACACAGAATGGTGACTAGATTGTTGTCCGGCAGACCTGCGACTCCCTGGGACGGTACTTTGACCAGTAGCTGGCACGTCGGACACTGGAAGGCCTTTTGAACCCCCACCTGGTCTTGAAGGCAGTCCTGACAGAAGGTGTGCTGACAGGGCAGCATCTTGGGCCTGGTGAACAGCTCCAGGCAAATGCTGCAGGACAGTTCCTCCTGAATTTCCTGCCCCAAACTTGCTGTTACCGCTGCCATGATTTTTTTTTCACCTGACTCTGATGTGGCGTCTCCACCCCAAGTTAAAGTCCAGGTTGGAGTATGTTTATCTGAGATTAGACCAATAGGGGGATCCTGAAAAGTAAACTTTTTCCATTGATAGAAACTAAAGCATAGGCTGTCTAATACAGCTACTAACTTAAAGCTACATTGTCATCAAATTGTTGCCAACTTTTAGTCCACAGATTGTATAGTAGCATGCATATGATTTTAAGGATCTTTTTAAAGAGTTTTTACAGAAACCCTCCCAATGTTGGTACAGCCCACTTTGAATCAAATACTCAATAATGTTTAACATTCCAGATTAATCAATTAGTCATGTGATTGTCAGCACTTAATTGATTGTCAGCACTTAATTGATGCCCTACATGCTGAAATGGCTGCGGGAACAGGCAGCAGACAAGGCACGATGGAACGGAACTTTTAAGACTATCGATGTCACACACTGATTTGGTGTGCCAATGACAGTTTGATACCAGTTTATAGAACTGTATTCATTTGCCACCAAGAACAGTATATTATTATTATTATATTAATTGATGATCAGATGACTACAAGATAACATATATGACATAATGCCTACATTTATGATAAGAAATCACACAGTCATGTAGTTTCTACTTTGAAATTCTATCCTTCTTCCATAAATTGCAAATCCCAATCAGGAAATTAGTTATGTTTGCTTACTTTTAGTTTAGGTACACATGTCAAATCTAGACAAAATGATCTGCATGTAGTAACTTGAATCAGCTGTTCAAGGTACAGAGTTCATTTTCAAACCATTTGCTTGGTGAGACCGTGGTTGCACATAATATTGATTTTGAAGTAAGGCCCTGTTGGTTTGATGTATTTGATTTGCGTGCGCATGAATTTTCACCCATTTCCCCCAAAAAGTTTCTAAAGTACTGTATATTGTACAAAGCAGCTGCAAAACCAGAAAATATATGCCATAAATTGCCTAAAAAAATAGATACTAAATGTCATGGAATTTCAAAATTACAGACTATTATTAGTTGCCATACAATATTGTACCATGATACTCTGTGTGTTTAGTCATTTTGTTTAACCTCCATGACCATTTCAAACTTTTTTTTCAAACTTTTTTTCGTATTTGCACGCTCGCATCAGTTTTGGTGTTCCCAGAGGATGTCATTCATGTACATGTAGTCAAATAAACATGGCCTGAGAAAGCAAAGTTGTCCCATGGCCTTTAAGAGATCTTGCCTCATCATTATAACTCAGAAACAGGAAAATTTTTTAAAAGTATTCTAGCATGATTGTATTAGTCAGCAGATTATGCATGTTACCTTAGGTTAGTACCTATACATTACGCCTAACACCAGTAGACCAAAGTAAGTATTAACTAACTTAAAAGTAAGTAAACAAAGTTATTTGGGACTGACATGGTCTCTAACTAGAACTGAACCCAGCCTGGCATCACACTATGGTGATTTGAACTTGGCAATAGTATCCCTTTGTTATTCAAAGTCTTCTTGACGGTTTGTTTGAAAACGGCAGCCTCGGTTGACAACACCTGCACCTGAAAATAATTAATTTTCTTACCGATGAAAGAGATGTTGACTTCTTGCCTTGATTTGAAAGAGAAGTTTACACGTTTGACATGTTTTTTTGCAGAACTACGGTGAGCTGTCACAGGGAGAGTTCCACCTGATTCGACAGACTCTACTGGGATTCTTTCAGGACATGCATATCAGGGTCAGTACTAGTAAGCTAAGTGTATTAAATAAATATGTATCTGCTTAGCACATTGGCAGAACGCACTGCACCTGCACGAAACCCATCATGTATTGTGCATAGCACTTCGGCAGAACATCTCATATAAGGTCGTATGTACGCAAATAAAGTTAACATCCCGCCTGTAGTTTCCAAATGTTATGTCGGGCAAGATATTGTCTGCCACAGGTGAAATTCTGATGCAACATTGACCAAAACATCCGAAGAAAATCGTGAAAAATCAGGGTTTCGCGCAGGCGTAGTACGTTGTGCCAACGTGCTTATTTATTATCTGCTTATAATTAGGATGATGGGATTTTCTTCTTACACAACTGGTAGTGTTTCTCACCACTTTTTTTTATGTCTGTCAGACATGTTCCTCAGAGCTTCTGACAGGAGTACTGCTTCTCGCAAATATAGGTGGCGCTTTTGCAGTAAGAACACAATCCCAAGCTAAGTGGTCTTGATGCAAAGTTGCCACCTAAATTCACAGGCTACATGTAACGGCAAGAAGCAGTACTCCAGTCAGAAGCTCTG